TTTTCTGTGATCTCATCAATTACATTTATTTTAGTGTTTTGGAGAATTTTTTGTCAAATGCTGTAAGAAAGATTACCACTTTATGTTTAATGTATAGGTATTTTCTCCTTGCTAGCTTATAGACAGTTTTCATCAATATAACTTAATATTTCATGCCAGATAACCAAGTACAGTCAGCATATTCATGATACTTTTGGAAGATATAAGATGCAGCTTAAATAAAAGTAAAAAAGAGGCGTTAACTAGGCTCATCATGGTGATCAGTTTCCAGTTGATACATGTATCAGATCATTATGTTGTACACTTGAAACTAAAATCATGTTATGTTTCAATTATATCCCTCCCCAAAACCAACTACCCCAAAACCAAAAACAACTACTCTTCTTGTTTAGACATTAAAGAAAGTACCTGAAATTTAATTTGTTCTTGATAAGCCTGGATGAAAGAGGCCTGTATAATACGTATTACCTGTGGTATACATGGATACATCATAAGAAAAATTAATGATACTTTATTGATTAATATTTTGCTTAAGTTTCAGTGAGACCAATAGACACTCATTTGATCAAAGATGTAACTTTGTATTTCAAAAATATATTTTTATATTAGAAATCTGAGTTCACCCAGTTCATTAACTGGTGTCTCTGAATAAGAAAAAAGATTTTTAAATAAATTTAAATTAAAAAATAAATTTTATAGAATATTTATTTAATAAAATAGCTAAAAAACTTAAATATAAATAATAGTATTTATTTAGAATCTTGGTATTCATCAAAGACAATTTTATAAACATGAAGATTATTCTTTTCTGATTTAGATATTAGGTGGTAGTAACTTATACAATACAAATAATTAGTAAGATGGTCAGTTTTTTTTACCATATCATAATTCTTCCTGATAGTAAATGCATATCACACACATTATTTGAAAATGTCAGCAAAAATTAAGCCCAAGAACAAATGAAATTCTGAATGGTTTGAGAGTAAAAGAAAATAGTATTGATGACTCCATCAGATTTTCCTCTTTCCTCTTAGAAAGGAAATGTTTTAGAAGTTTCAGAATTCTTTTTGATTTGCTTAGGCATTGAAGAATGAAATTAAAACCCTTCACATAATTTCCCCTTTTTAATATATGTATTTGGAGAAGGCTTTTTTTTTTTTTTTTTTGGTAGGATAAATTCTACTGATCACTCCCAGGTAATTAACAATGCTTCCTTTGGTGTTATTTTACCTTTATTTAATACTGATATATTTCATTTAAAGAAAAGAGAAGGCAAAAATTGTTTGACATTGCAGCAAACAGCTTTAAGAATAGTTTTTGACTGTATACAGTTTTATAGTAATATTCGTTTCCCATTTGATTCATACCACAACTCTTTTAGACCAGCAGCTGTACATAATTTCTAAATTCCATTTTAACAGTGTCTGAAAGAGAGACAGAGGTTATTTGAATTGTCCAAGGTTGGTAGAGAATCTGCCTGCAATGCAGGAGCTGCACAAGACACAGCTTTGATCCCTGGATGGGGAAGATCCCCTGGGGGAGGGCATGGCAATCCACTCCAGTATCTTTGCCTGGGGAATCCCATGGACAGAGGAGCCTGACAGGCTACCGTCTATAGGGTTACAACTATAGAACACTGATGAAAGAAATCAAAGATGACCCAAATAGATGGAGAAATACACCATGTTCATGGATCAGAAGAATCAATCTAGTGAAAATGAGTGTATTACCCAAAGCAATCTGTAGATTCAATGCAATCCCTATCAAGCTACCAATAATATTTTTCAGAGAACTAGAACAAATAATTTCACAATTTGTATGGAAATTAAAAAAAAAAAACCAAAAAAAAACTTGAATAGCCAAGCAATCTTGAGAAAGAAGAATGGAACTGGAGGAGTCAACATGCCTGATGTCAGACTATACTACAAAGCCACAGTCATCAAGACAGCATGGTACTGGCACAAAGACAGACATGTCAATCAGTGGAACAAATAGAAAGCCCAGAGATAAATCCACACACCTATGGACACCTTATCTTTGACAAAGGAGGCAAGAATATACAATGGAGAGAAGACAATCTCTTCAACAAGTGGTGCTGGGAAAACTGGTCAACCAGCAGTGAAAGAATGAAACTAGAACACTTTCTAATACCATACACAAAAATAAACTCAAAATGGATTAAAGATCTAAATGTAAGACCAGAAACTATAAAACTCGTAGAGGAAAACATAGGCAAAACACTCTCTGACATAAATCACAGCAGGATCCTCTATTACCCACCTCCCAGAGTAATGGAAATAAAAGCAAAAATAAACAAATGGGACCTAATGAAACTTAAAAGCTTTTGCACAACAAAGGAAATGATAAGCAAGGTGAAAAGACAGCCTTCCAAATGGGAGAAAATAATAGCAAATGAAGCAACTGACAAAGAATTGATCTCAAAAATATATAAGCAGCTCCTGCAGCTCAATTTCAGAAAAATAAATGACCCAACCAAAAAATGGGCCAAACAACTAAACAAACATTTCTCCAAAGAGGACATACAGATGGCTAACAAACACATGAAAAGATGCTCAACATCACTCATTATCAGAGAAATGCAAATCAAAACCATAATGAGGTACCATCTCGCTCTGGTCAGAATGGCTGCTATCAAAAGGTCTACAAACAATAAATGCTGGAGAGGGTGCAGAGAATAGGGAACCTTCTTACACTGTTGGTGGGAATGCAAACTAGTATAGCCACTATGGAGAATAGTGTGGAGATTCCTTAAAAACTGGAAATAGAACTGCCATATGACCCACCACTCCCACTGCTGGGCATACACACCAAGGAAACCAGAATTGAAAGAGACACATGTACCCCAATGTTCATCGTAGCACTGTTTACAATAGCTAAGACATGGAATCAACCTAAATGTCCACCGGCAGACAAATGGATAAGAAAGCTGTGGTACATATACATATTACTCAGCTATTTAAAAAAATGCATTTGAGTCAGTTCTAATGAGGTGGATGAAACTGGAGCTTATTATACAGAGTGAAGTAAGTCAGAAAGAAAAATACCAATACAGTATATTAATGCATATATATGAAATTTAGAATGATGGTAATGATAACCCTATATGTGAGACAGCAAAAGACACACAGGTAAAGAACAGACTTTTGGATTCTATAGGAGAAGGCAAGGGTGGGATGATTTGAGAGAATAGTATTGAAACACGTATATTACCATATGTGAAATAGATCGCCAGTCCAGGTTAGATGCATGAGACAGTGTGCTCAGGGCTGGTGCCCTGGGATGACCCTGAGGGATGGGATGGTGGGGAGGTGGGAGGGGGATTCAGGATGGGGAGCACATGTACACCCATGGCTGGCTCATGACAGTGTATGGCAAAAACCACCACAGTATTGTGAGAAATTAGCCTCCAATTAAAATAACTAAAAAAAAAGAGACACGACTGAAGCGAGTGAGCACAAACAGGCGCACACACACACACCAAGTTACTAAGTATTAGAGAGTTAAGACTTCAAACCAGATATTCTGAGTCTTCACTGCGTTTGTTATTCTCAAATACTGAATCCTTTTCACCACTTTGTAAGTTACTTATCTGAGAATGGAAGAGCTTATATAACAACTCTTAGTGGTGGAGAGGTGAGAAGAAGCATAGAAACTGAGCAAACTTCAGATTTCCTTCTGAAAACTGTTTTTTCCAAAGGTGACTTGAAGGAAGCAGTTTTACTTTTAAAGAATTTTATTTTTACTTGGGGCAAGAACTAATATTTGTATAGTGTTTTACTATTCATTGAATGACTTCTCTTTTATGTTCTCATTTAATGTTCTTACCAGTGTTGAGCAATAGGCACTATTATTATTATTTTCTACAGGAAAGAAGAAAAATAAGACTAATTGATACTCTAGCAGTCATATTATTGGTAGTTTGCATAGCTGGGATTCCTTGGTGGCTCATAGGGTAAAGAATCTGCCTGTAATGCAAAACCTGGGTTCAATCTCTGTGTTCGACTGCTATCCCTGGGTTGGCAAGATCCCCTGGAGAAGGGAATGGCAATCCACTCCAGTATTCTTGCCTGGAAAATTCTATGGGCAGAGGAGCCTGGTGGGCTACAGTCCATGGGGTTGCAAAGAGTCAGACACGACTGAGCAACTAACACTTTCACTTGCATAACTGGTACTTTACATTCAAGTCCTTTAAATTCAGGGCTTATAAAATAATACTGTTTTTAGAAAAGAAATGTTAAAATGAGGTTTATTTTTCTCTGAAATCTTATCATTAGAATAATTGTGTCAGTGATAGAACTTGTCTCATAAATGAATTTCCCTCTTAAAATAATTTCTTAGACTTGGAGGAGGAAAGTGAAAGAGTATACAAGTATAAACAACATGCATTCAAAGTATGTTCTGTGCCATGGCTGAAAGTTATTAATTTTTTTTCAACCTTTCAGGGTCTCTTTCCTACTGTGCTGCTTTCTCTTTTATGTGAATCTTCAATTCTTTATTCCAGTTCTCTATCAGAATAATGTATAATTTCCTGAATGACTCTTAGCAGGATGATAACTTTTTGTTTGTAAACAGGGTGTTTGCTTGCACCTCACCTCTTCCTCCAGACTAAATCTCAGATATAAGTTATCTGGGAATACTCTGTTTTTAAAAAAGATGTGAAGAGGTACACCTTTAAGTTATTTTACTAAATTTGTTCAGTTAATAAAATTAGATATATTTTGCCCAAAAGATCTCTAGTACTTGCATGGGACAGTCAGTGAATGCTGTCTGTGTGTGTGTGTGTGGTGGTAGTTTGTTCCAGGTAAGTAAAATAGCCAAATGTTGAATAGGCAAACTCTTAAACCCAATTGTATGTCTCAGTACCTGAGTGATAACTCTAAATTTCCAGTCAGTAACTAATATACTTTTATGATTATCTGTCTAATAGTGGCCGTATTGTTCAGCATATTTTCTCCTGTTGTATTTTTTTTCCTTCTTAGGGACATAGTTCTCAAACTGCTTCAGTATGAGGCCTCAACAAATGTAGCAGACAACAAAGGTTATTTTCCTATTCACCTGGCTGCCTGGAAAGGAGATGTGGAAATTGTGAAGATTCTTATTCATCATGGACCATCACATTCCAGAGTCAATGAACAGGTGCATTTGTCAAGTATTTGCTCATGCTGTGATTTTTGAGAGTTTTGTGAAGTCAAAGCCATACTGAAAAATTGATTATTTCTGTCTTTACCCTGCCACAGATCATCCCACCACTGAATTTGCTAAAGGAGATATTTGAAAACTTCTTTGACATTTGTTTATAGGTACATTGGCACCAAGTTGCACATTTGTAAAGATATTTGTTCATAAGAAAATCCCGCGTAAAAGAAGTAGCTCTAGTATTTTTGCCTGCCTTACATGAGAATCCATTTTATAATTATTGAATATTTAAAGATAGAACAGAATTTACATTCTTAATGTAAAAGTAGCTTTTCTTATAAAATTTTAGATGCTAGAACAATGATGATAGCTATCATTTGCATAATACTTTACCATTTACATAGCACTTTTATATTAAGTGCTGTTTTGTGAATTAAAATGCAAATACAATGTATACAGTTGCTAGACACATATTAAATGAAAAATTTCCTGTACACACACACACACACATGTTTGCCTAGAGTAAGTTCAGTAAAACACAGCAGCAGGATGAAACTGACAGATAGTCAAAATATTTGCAACTACATAGTATCCATGTTATACTTAATGCATATATATTTAAAAATAATGCCATTCTCATTGTTCTAAATAAATAAGATCACACATTCCAGAAAGTAAAATACAATCCTCTAGTACAGTGTGATAACAAATGAGCTCTGCATGCCCCCTACTGTTCCCATTTTGTAAAACTATATTTGAAAACCAGCGTGCAGCCCAACAATTGAATTACAAACAGGGTATTAAGCTGCAGGTTGGCCGCTGTCCAGTATGGATGCAAGGAGGTTACTCTAGGTCAAACACAGCTAATATAGTACAATTAGCATATTGTTCATATGGGTACAGACTTTGCAGACACTTGACTGAAATTCAGATTAAAAATGAATACTTGCTAGCTGTATACAGCAAAGGGAAGAAAATATAATATTTTTCTTACATCAAAATGTAGTTGTGTAAAGAACTAATCAGGAAAAATGTTTTATTAATTAGAAAAATGTCTTGTTAATATATATCACAATAAAATGTCTATGTTTTCATGTTACAAAATGCATAATATTTTTATGAGAATAGTGAATTCAAGTCTTTACGAAATGATGGATATGGCTGTCTTTATTTATCATTCTAAAAAGGAAATTTATGAGAATGCTGCCTGTTCCTCAGAAAACCAAGTTAAAAGATCATTGGTGGGATGAGCCATCTGGTGGTTATTCTTAAAACTGAATGCCCAAAGCAAACCTAAAGTAATAAGATGCAAAAACAAACCAAGGTGAAACAATGGAGTATTAGTTTCTACAAACAATATTTTTTAAATGACATGAAAATAAGGGAAAAAACCCTAACCCTAACCAACATTTACATTTGAATGTTGAAGATTTTAAATAGCGTAGAGAAACTGTTATTTTCTGTGATGTTGAATATGTCAGTTTAAATATAAAAAAATTTTTTTTGAGGAGATTGGACTTCAAAATTCTTTTTTCAATTCTGTTACTTTATGTTGTGGTTTCTATTATAAATGAGTAGAAATTTTTTGAGATTTTTAATACCATTTTTTTTACATATTTTTTCTTTGTTATTATGTACATACTCCTTTAGTACTGACATAGATGTCTCATTCAATGTTATTTCTTCTAAAAGTTTCTGATGTAGGAATTTTGTTTTCATAGGTAAATTTTGATTTTAGTTTTATTTCCCACACCCTCCCCAACTGGGACAGAAGTATACTAATTAATTATATACCTTTATGTATTTAAGCAATAGAGGGCAGGAATGAAAATGATAATGAACATTAACTGAGACTTATGATAACTGGGCAGTTTTACCTACAATATGTTATTTAATTAATTCTTGCAATTCTCTGAAGTGATTGTTAACACTTCCATTTTATAGACAGGAAATCAGTCTCAGTAAAGCTAAGTAACGCATGTAAGTTCACACATTACTGAGTGACTTAAACTGAGACTTGGACTCAGATCTCTATAATTTCAGAGCTGTCCACAATAGTACACTGGTTTTACATCATAGACCCTATCACTTATGGAGTGCTTACTATATGCCAGGCATTGTGCATAGTACTTCATCTACTTTATCTCTCTAAGCTCTACCATTGCCTAATGAGGTAGGTATTACTTACTGTTCCTGCTTCATATATGAGGAAACCACCTTAGAAAGACTAAGTAACTTCTTGATATCCCAGCTGCTAAGAAATGCAGTTAGTACTTGAACTCAGGTTTTTCTGATCCAAAGCCCAAGCTTATAACCAGTAATACATTATGTTATGATGTTAAAATTATGCATAATCATCAGGGCTTAATTCTGATTTCTGAATGCTAACTTTGGTTTATTATACAGCTTTCTTTCAAAATAATTCTAACTTATGTTTTAATATTTTAAGTTTATAAGGCATTTTCCTATATGTTATCACCTTTGATTTATTAGTTGTATTCTAAGGTTATAGGGAAGGTAATATTCTAATTTTATAGTAAGATAGGTCCAGAGAGATGGAATGATTTACTGTTGCTAATAAATACATGTTAGTACTTCAACCTGGGTCACCATTTTATGCTGCCCTAGAATTAGTGGTCAATTTAGAGTGAAATAATTTTGAAAACAAAGTGGACTCTGCCCTAATTATTGTTTTTATAATTGCCGCATCTTTTCTGTCTTTTGTCACTTCATTTATTATTTCTTTTTCTGTTATGTATGTTTTCAATTTATATTTCTTTGTATATTCATTTCCCTCCTGTCTTTCTTCCCTCTTTTCTTTTCTTCCACCTTCTCTTCTTTTTCTCTTTATTTTTGCATTAGGACAAAAACCAGAGGAACCTTTTCTAAAAAGTATATTCACCAAAACTTCAAACTTTGCGTTCACCCAAACTTCAAATCCAACTAGTATTAGATAGTTTCCATTAGTGTTACTTTGAAGTAAGGCCTTTGGTAAATAGCTTTTGTAAAGCCAGTTTCATACTGCCACCCATTGTCTGGAATTGTCCTAATTTTTTAGAGAACACTTATCTGATAAAGAAGAAGAAATTCAAAACAGTTTAAGAATGTTTAATGTAGACATCTGAAGAATTGATACTTTTGATCTATGGTGCTGGAGAAGACTTAAGAATCCCTTGGACTGCAAAGAGATCAAATCAGTCAATCCTAAAGGAAATCAACCCTGAGTATTCATTGGAAGGATTGATCTGAAGCTGAAACTCCAATACTTTGGCCACCTGATGCAAAGAGCTGATTCATTGGAAAAGGCCCTGATGCTGGGAAAGATTGAAGGCAAAAGGAGAAGGGGGCAACAGAGGATGAGATGGTTGGATGGCATCACTGACTCAGTGGACATGAGTTTGAGCAGTCTCTGGGAAATAGTGAAGGACAGGGAAGCCTAGCATGCTGCAGTCCATGGGGTTGCAAAGAGTCGGACACGACTTAGTGACTGAACAACAACAGAGTGTAGATATACTGACAATTATTAATTAGTATGTTATTGCAGCCTATTTATTTCAAATTGGATTTTTTTAGACCACTAGTGATTATGTATATGAGTATACAACCGTGGTTTCTCTAAAGATACCGCAGTTGTGGTCTTCACTGATGTGACAAACCAGGTGTATCTTATATATTATGGTTAAACTCTATGAACATTTTCTCCTAAGTCTGGAATTATTGAAAGATTTTTTTTGAGGTCTGAATGGTGATAATTGGAGTTAATAGAAAATTTCAGTTTTGCACTTATAATTTCCTAGGCTAAGCCTTTGCAAGGTAGAGAGGTCTGTGAGGATTTGTTTCGTAATTCACTTTTCTATTCCTCAAAGAGGTGCTGTATTTTTAAAAATGAGAAGTAATCTCTTTTCAACCAGTGGGAAACTTGGTTCAGTCAGGAGGCATATTTCTATATCATTTTCATGGTTTAAAGTAATAAGATTGATTTTTAAATCAGGTTTGTAAAACTTGACCAGATAATAAAATCAGGGAGTGTAAGCCTCTATGTTCTAAGTCTCTGTGAGGAAGAAGACTATGGTGACATATTTAAACTAAGAATAGGAATGGCATCCTCAAAATGCTAGAAAAAACAATATCTCCCTCTGGACTCCCCATCTATCAGATTATAACTTTCTGTTGACTGTCTTTAAAGAGTATGTTTTTCATCTGAGCTTGGCCTTCAAAGGCCCTCTCCTGATATTTTTTGGAAAGTAAAATAGTAAGAAACTTTTTTCCCCCTTGTCACTCCTCTTTTTAAGTTTTCAAATCTACTCTCAGCTTACTTACCTGCATTGTTTTATTATCCAGAGCAAGACTGAGTTACAATAACATTTGTTTGGGTTTGAACGCTTAGGACAGCTGTCTAAGCAACTACTTCCTATTTCAACTCAATTAGTGTTCTTTTGGGCAAAATCCATAGAAATTCTGCTTTCAGATCACTAATTTTCTGTTTTTCTTCCTTGACAGTGTAGAAAAACATGGTAGGCAGTGTGGTACAATGGAAAAAGCATAAATAGGTTTTGGATTCTTATGATACAGGTTCCAAAAGATCCTGATTCTCCATGGACATGTAATTTAGTCTTTTTGTATTTTAGTTTCCTCACCCATGAAGTGGAGATGTTAATATTAGTCTTGTAGGATCATTTATAAGGGTTAGGGGGGACGATATATGTGAAGTTTTTAGGCACTGAGCAAATGGTAGTCATAACAGTTGCTGTAGAAGATGTTATTAAAGGTACCAACTTTGGGTCTAGGCTATTTAGGTTCAAATCCTGGCTCCAATACTAAATGGCCGTATAAGGCTGTGTAACAGCTCCTTATTCAACTCTGCATTACTTCAGTTTCCTCATCTGTAAAATGGGAACAATGACAGTACTTTTTATCTCCTAGTGAGGATTAGGGGCTTCTCCGGTGGCTCAGTGGTTAAGATCCAGCTGCAATGCGGGATACTTACAGGAGACACGGGCTCAGTCCCTGGGTTGGAAAGATCCCCTCGAGGAGGAAATACAACCCACTCCAGTGTTCTTGCCTGAAAAATCCTATGGACAGAGGAGCGTGGTGGTCTGTAATCCATGGGGTCGCAAAGAGTCTGACATGACTGAGCACACACACAGGCCAGCAATGAGGATTAAATAAGCAAGCACATATGAAATGCAACGGTGTGTGCTCTGCACATAGTGTTAGCTATGATGGTAACTGTGATGATGACATCCTCCCTTGCTCTCTAGAACCCTCAGGTTTTAAATTACTGTGTTTAGATTTTCATAACAAATTGAATTTCTGAAAACTTGCCCTGTATGTCTTTGTCCTAACAGAACAATGAAAATGAAACTGCCCTACATTGTGCAGCTCAGTACGGACACTCGGAGGTAGTTGCTGTGCTCCTGGAAGAACTCACCGATCCTACCATCAGAAACAGCAAGCTGGAAACACCTCTGGACCTGGCAGCCCTCTATGGACGGCTTAGAGTGGTCAAAATGATCATCAGCGCACACCCTAACTTAATGAGCTGCAACACCCGAAAGCACACGCCGCTGCACCTTGCTGCACGCAACGGTCACAAGGCAGTCGTCCAGGTGCTGCTCGAGGCAGGGATGGACGTCAGCTGTCAAGTGAGTCTTCTTGTCGCTGTGCTTCCAAAACAATGGTGTTTTTGCTTTGCTTTGAGATACAGATGTTAAAATTTACATCTTAATTACATGCTGAATTTACAGGAAGAGATACTAACATTTTTAAATCCGGCAAATGGTCCACATGTATTTTTCTGACTACTAAATTCAAAGTATCCTGCCACACTCTTGGGAAATATGAAGGGATATAAGCCCTACTCTCTAACCTCATTCTGACTTGAGGGCTTTCCACATGAAAAATTATTACTAGATGGCAGTTATGTGTGGTCTTCTTAGTAATTGTTTCCTTTATTCCAGTATCTAGCACACAGCTTGACATACACCAGGAATTCAGTCTAAAATTGAGTGAATGAAAGAAAGAAATGAAATTGACTTTAATTATTGAGTATGTACTTTGTGTTTAATATGTTGACACGTTTAGAATCTAAATCTCACAGTTATCTTGTGGAATTGAGAGCTATTAAGTTCCAGTACAGAGATGAGGAATCACATTCAAAGACTAATAAACTTGCCTAAGGACACATAGCTCATAAACCCAGAATGTGAATTAAGACTTACTGATTCAAGTCCAGGCCTCTTTCTGCAATAATGTACTTGTGTACATGACTGATAAAGGGAGGATCACTATACCTAAGGGCAATAAAAAAATTTTTTTTTAAAACTTGACCATTTGCATAGGTGAAAAACTTTCTCTTAAAATCTTCCTTCATCATCCTCAGAGCAGAAACCAATCTTTCCCTGCAGTGCTCACAAATTCTTGTCTTCTGTGTATGTTCCTCCCTCATTCTACCCTCAAAATAATTCTTAATTTTCATACTAACTCTATGCCAAGAATAGTTGAAGAATATTCTGAGGTATGGTACTTTTTAGGCATTGGTGATACCATGATGAAAAAATAGATATGGTCTACATTTCCACTAAACTTACAGTTTATTAAAGGAAATAGATAATCATATAACATTATAATGTAGTACTACAAATTCTATGATGAGGAAGATTAGATTGATGTGGAACACACAGGGAAAGTGCTGCACTTTAGGGGCAAGCAATACTTCCTGAGTGAAATTATATTTAAACTAAGATTTGACATGTAGTGTAGGTCTGTGGTTCTCAATTGTGCTCCCTAGACCCTTATTATTGGGGCTTCCCATGTGGCACTAGTGTTAAAGAACCTGCCTGCCAAAGCAGGAGATGTAAGCTGTGGGTTTATCTCTGGGTCGGGAAGATCCCCTGGAGGAGGGCATGGCACCCCGCACCAGTATTCTTACCTGCAGAATCCCATGGACACAGGAGCCTGGAAGGCTACAGTCCACAGGGTCGCACAGAGTTGGATACAACTGAAGCAACATAACGTGCACACACGCATCCCAGGTGCCTGAGCCAGAACTCACGGTGGTGCCCAGAAATCTGGTCAGCAAGCTCTCTAGGTGATTCTGATTCAGGCTGAAGATTGAGAACTGGTGGTATAGGTGATGGAGAGGTAAAGAGGACTAGGAGTTCTATCCTACCAGGCAGAGGGACCAGCTTTTGAGATTCTTGGGGAAGAAAACAAGGGAATGATACTGATGAAATGTTTAGTATGCCTGGAGCATGAATAAGGTACAGAAGGTCTGGGGAGAGTTGGGATAGACAAGAGAGGATATGGAAAGGAAAGGAAGGAAGAATATTTTCCAGGTTTTTAAAGCCACATTAAATTGGTGTGATTTTATTTGCCATTAATATTTATTTATACATCTGTCTCCTCTGATAGAATGTAAATGTACAAGAGTCAGGATCATATTTCCATACCTCAGAACACCGCTTAACTATTCTTGGTGTAAAGCTGGTATTTAATTAATGCATGTTGAATTGCATGAGCTCACTGGATAGTCACAAAAGCCCCGTGAGGTAGGTATTACTACTCTTATGTTATATCTGAGAACGACTGAGGGTGAAAGAAGATGAGTGACTTATAAACATAACAAGGTCAAATGGCTACAGAGAAGCACAGATATTTCACAAGCTCAAGCTTTTGGATTCTGTTTTTAAGATCTTCTTTGTTCCACACTCCTTTCTGTCAGAGTGCTAAGATTACAAACAATATGTATGAATGCGTCAGTTCAGTTCAGTTCAGTCACTCAGTTGTGTCCGACTCTGCGACCCCATGAATGCATAAAAGGATATAATTTTTTTAACCTTAGCTTTCCTAATGTTTTTCCTTCTTCTTCTTTTTTTCTAGACAGAAAAAGGGAGTGCACTCCATGAAGCAGCTTTGTTTGGGAAAGTGGATGTTGTACGGGTTCTGTTAGAAACAGGTAACTATCATGATTCTCCATGGAGCTTATCTTGCCAAAAAGTGTACTCCAAAAGTGGACAAAGGAAAATGACGCAATCCACCCCGCCCCACATTACCCTTTTTACTTCACTCTAAATTGTATGTATGTAGAACCATGTAGAATTGACCCTCAGTGTTAAGGAAAAAAAAAACTGATATAAATGTTCATCTTCCTTTTCAATAGATTCTTTAATCAAAAGCTTTTTAGAAGTGATCATTTTCTGTTTTTAAATTATATTAAAATATATTAGAGAAACTACCAAAAGAGGGAGAAAATCTCTGCCTTCTATAGGAGGGAGGAATTGATCCATGTGAAGCTGTGACAATTGCTTGATTTATTAAATAATATACAATTTTCCCTAGGTTTTTATATTGTTAACAGTGGTAAACAGAAATTAGAGTTCCCTATCCTTAAGGTGAATTTTCCTTCTAGTTAATTCTTCATTAAAGTGGATTAAAGTGAAAGTCACTCAGTCGTGTCCAACTCTTTGTGACACCATGGACTGCACAGTTTATGGAATTCTCCAGGCCAGAATACTGGAGTGGAGAAGAAAAAGATCCCCTTTTTCTTCTCAGGGGATCTTCCCAACCCAGGGATGGAACCCAGGTCTCCTTCATTGCAGGCAGATTCTTTACCAGCGGAGCCACAAAGGAAGCTCAAGAATACTGGAGTGGGTAGCCTATCCCTTCTCTAGGGGATTTTCCTGACCCAGGAATCGAACCAGGGTCTTCTTCATTGCAGGCAGATTCTTTACCAACTGAGCTATGAGGGAAGCCCAGTTAATTCATCAGCTGAGTAGCTACTGTTTGTAAGCTTCAGTGATTTAAAGGGAATCTTTTAGAGGGAAAACTCTGAAGGAGCAACAAAGTAGTCTTATTTGTCTCCATATGTGTATTATAATTGAAATAAAATTGAAACCGAGGTCAGATTTTTTTTTAAGATCAAAAGGTATAGATTCAAATTCATGCTTGTGAACAATATATATGAGTCTTCTGTTATAAACTATATTTGACGTGTTTATTTTCCTCAGTAAAAATGTTAAAAGTATTAGCAGACTGTTGCATTGTGATTGTTCTTAAGCAAAGTTGAAATTTCATATATATGTAACTTTGATATGTAATGCAGTGATATAATAAATGAGGTAATCAATTAAATGTGTGCTGGTAATACATTTCCATACAAATTTAAGCAAATATTTAATAATTTTATTATAATGAATAACTTTTGAGGCCAGATCCTGAAAACTGGCTTTTGTTTGCAATTAGAAATTTGGGAAGTTTATAGAGATTTTTGCTATTTTCTACATTAAACCCTTTACCATAAATATTTTCAGAATTAAAAGGATTCCAAAGGTATTTCAGTTACACACATTAGGAAGTGTTCTCATCAGGTATTTGATGAGTATTGCTGATATTGAATATAATCTTGTATAAATAAATGTGGAATATTTGACTTAGTATTTGGACAATAATTAAAAATAGTCCTACTTTTTCAACTTCTGTGAATGCTAAAGTATTCTAAGACTGCTGTTATATTGCTTACATGGTACATTATTATTATTTTGATCATACTATAAAGAATATATAAATCACATGACTTTTATACTTTAGGAATTTTCATTCTAATATTTTTCAACTTGATAGTCTATAATTTAGTTAAGTAGTTATAAGCTAAAATAGCTGTAATCTGAAAAGTTAATGTTTGAGTCAGTGTTAATTTGTTATCAAATGAAGAGTTAATTCATTATCAAAAATGTTCCAAATCTTTGGTATCAGTAGACTTCCATCTTCTTTCTTACTAAAATCGTGTGTGTGTGTGTGTGTGTATGTGTGTGTGTGTGTGTGTGTGTATGTAGGGCTTAATTAAAAAAAAACTGCCTTAAGTGCTTTGTTTGCGTACTTCTGAAATTAGTGCGGTCATGTGTTGACAACATCTTCTGGTGATACTCCACTGTGTTCATCTAGTGGGTTTTTCTTTTTCTTTCAGGAATTGATGCCAACATAAAAGATAGCTTAGGTAGAACTGTCTTAGACATTTTGAAAGAACATCCATCTCAGAAATCTCTCCAGATTGCAACTCTCTTACAAGGTAAATAGTATTGAATGATGGATGAGTTTGCCTTACAGTTAAGATTAAATTAAAACTGTCCTCGTTTTCTCTTGAGTTTCGAGTTAACATTTACTTTTGAATGAAGTTACTATTTGCATTTTTTTCTGGTAGACTTTTAAGCTAAAGAATAATGAATACCTTTTAATGTTTTATTTGTTTTTCAACTGTTAAAATATTTTTTTCACTCACTTGATATTAAAAAGTATTTTTAATTAAACCCTTGTAATAAACATATGGTTATGAACTTGAAGGTATTAGGGCTATAAAGTGGTGATGCTGAGGTATTATCTTACATTTGAATAATGGATTTTCTATTATTTTGCCTGATTTCTGTAACTGTGAAGTAGATCAATCAAATATTATTATTCTTTTTTTTGCACATGAGGGAAATTGAAGCTCCAGGAAGCTAAGTGATTTGCTCAAACACATATCCTATTCCAAGTGGTAGAACTGGTATATAAATGCTGAGTTAACAACAACAAAATTGTCCTTCGTTGAAAGAATACAGATTATTTGCTACCAGATCCAGTAATACAAGATAATGCAGTCTTGCCAGCCTATGGGTTAATAAATATCATTTGAGTATATCTATAGTTAGTTTCGGTTATTAAAATAGATCTACTTAAGGTTTGACCACCATCTGGGTACCATTGCTTCATTTGCAGGATGCATACTTCCTCATCTGGCTTTCTCTTTTTGCTCGGTGGTCAGGCCTGACGCGCAGTGTGTTCCCTTAAACATGCGGATGTTTTTCTTTGATTTGCATTTAGCTCCTACACTGCTCAGTGCGGATTACCCCACAGTCATTATAGATCGGCTTCGAGTGTAACAAGGGGCGGTGGGGTGGGTCTCATAGGATATCAGTTGAGACGCTGAAGAGCAGCTTTGTCCTTCAGGAAGACAGATGAATTAAAACCAAGTCGGGCAGGAGACATGTAGATACAGGAGTCAACAAAGACCAGAGAGGGAAAGAACGGACTCACTACAGGAGGCCATGATGTTCTTTTCTCTCTTTATTTTCCGAAACCTCTCAGGAAACTTCAACCCCTACACTTTTCTTATTAATAAAGAAGTTAATTGCTAGTCAAGTGCTATAGAGATAAATCAGAGAAGAATACACGTATGATTCTTCATATTAATTCAAATTAAAATCAAGTTGAATGAAAGCTGAAAAATAAAAGAGTGGTATGCAACCTTTAAATCAGTCTTTGCCCTCTAGGCACTTTGTATTTCATTTTTGATTTTTGCCTCTAACTGAAGTTAAAGTAAACTGAGACTTGTGCCTAAGATATGTTTTGGAAGAAGCAAATAAATGCTGTCCGCTGAAAAGGGGGCATGACATAATTACAGACACTTTTAACACATTGAATTGGTTCAACTTAGATGAAAATGTTATTATACAGGTGTTCTCTTAAATAGTCATGATTTGTTCATTAGGTATGTAAATTTGTGATAGAGTATTTGCTACTTCTATGAATTTTTATAGTTATTGTCAAATTTTAGAATGTGAACACATTATATTCTCTGCATTCCTGATGTTCAATCACTGACACATTTAATATCTTATGAAAAAGTTTGTCATTGCAGTAAATACAGTTTATAGTAGGTAAAATTACTGCCTGGGCCAAAAATTGTAATGATAGAATGCCATATGTTGTTTTCTTTTCCTAGCAGAATTTGCCTAGTAGAATTGCTCTTAGGTAGAAACTATTTGGATAATATGAAGACACAGGTAGTTGGCATGAAAGCACAAAGTGTCTTAACTGAATTTTAAGAGAAAAGGGGTGCCTTATGAATAAAGAAACAGAAGTGAAAGATACCTTCGGGGAGGAGTCTACTGACTTAATCCCTTAGAGGCTACAAACTGTGATGAATGCCTTTTGGGCGATAGCAGATATAACTTGCTTAGATCACATACTATTGGCTCATGCTGTGTTTCTGTAAAATTGAATTAGCTTTAAGCATTTAAAAATCTAGGATTTCAGATAACACTCCAGGGTTTGGTTTCTCAAAAAATGCAAGCTTTCATGTTACTTCATGGCTGAACTTTAGATGGTACATCTGTTCTCTGGTTTGCCAGGCTCTGCCGGCTTTCTGTTTTTTCCTGTATCATTGAGATTAAATGTTAGTTGACATATATCCTTGCATTCAGATGCTGTTTTCTTTATGATTGAGAGAAAAGTGAGATGATTCTTATATCTATCTGTGTTTGCTACTTACTATCTGAATAAACATGGCCAAGTTAATAATCCTTCCCCTTTGGTTTTCATCTTTAAAGCTGAGATAATAATAGTGCCTGTGTCATAGTTTTGTGAAGATTAAATGAGTTAATTTATATCAAATACTTAAAAATGAGTGCTGAGTGTATAGAAAGCAATATTTAAGTTTTATTATTACTATGTCCTCATCAAAGTTGGAAAAATGAGTGAGGTGCTGAGTGTGGAACACTGCTTCAAGAATAATGCAAAAAAACATTTTTTTTTTTGTTGAACTAAAGTTCAATATGCAATTATGTTTGTCTCACAAGATGTAACACCATTGCAAATTAAGCTTATTCCACTTCATTTATTTATGTTACCTGGCTGGTTGTTTTATACATCGTAATTTTATATCCCTGTTTATGGACATGGTCTATTCAAAGCATCAGTCAGAGAGTTTTAAACCTCCAGATAGAATATATTTAAGGAAACCAAGGATGTTATTGTATCTTCAACTAGTACATTTATTTTTAAGGAAAGAATGTGACAAAAGTTTACTTTTATGAAAAGGATTCATGAGTCGCTCTTGAAATATTTTTTCTGTTTTAATTAAAAAGCTTTAAATTAATAGCTCATCATGAAGATCTTTCAGTTTGGTTTTTTGAAGTTTTTTTGAAAAACTTAGGATATGAAGAAATAACTCAAAAAGTAACCATCAAAGTAAAACCAAGTTAGAGTTTTTAACATATATGAATTCAAGTATGTAATTTCAAAAACTTATATACACAGAATATTTAGAAGGCATGGGAAGACCAACAGTCCTTGAAGAACACATACAGGAAGATATGACACAAGAAACACGTATTTCATCTCCTGTTGAATCTCCTTCCCAGAAGACCAAAAGTGAGTAACTAATTGTAAAACCCTTGAGATGATATTAAACTATTATGTACAATTTTATGCTGTATGTACGAAAGGGCTCAAACTTGTGAAAATTTAAGGTCTAACAAGTTATATCTTATACTCTATATTTTATCCATTATTCAATCAATATTTATTGAGCTCCTGCTGTTTGTCAGACACTATTCTTAGTCCTGAGATATAGTGGTGATCAAGGGAAATAGCAATCCCTGCTGACATGAAGCTTACATGGAGTGGATATTTTACAGTTGACTTTTACCCCCTAAAATATGTTTTTAAGGTGGACTAAAAAACATATCAAATTGCCAACATCCACTGGATCATCAAGAAAGCAAGAGAGTTCCAGAAGAACATCTATTTCTGCTTTATTGACTATACCAAAGCCTTTGACTGTGTGGATCACAATACACTGTGGAAAATTCTGAAAGAGATGGGAATACCAGACCACCTGACCTGCCTCTTGAGAAACTTGTATACAGGTCAGGAAGCAACATTTAGAACTGGACATGGAACAACAGACTGGTTCCAAATAGGAAAAGGAGTA